TACGTCTATTTCCCAAACACAACCTCTGGATATGACACTGAGCACCTGAGTTCTGAGTGGAACCTGTCCTGTTAAACCGCTGTATGGTCTTGGCCACCGTGCTGCAGCTCAGTTTCAGGGTCTTGGCAATCTTCTTATAGCCTACGTCATCTTTATGTAGAGCAACAATTCTTTTTTTCAGATCCTCAGAGAGTTCTTTGCCATGAGGTGCCATGTTGAACTTTCAGTGACCAGTATGAGAGAGTGAGAGTGATAACACCAAATTTAACACACCTGAGACCTTGTAACACTAATGAGTCACATGACACCAGGGAGAAAAAATGGCTAATTGGGCCCAATTTGGACATTTTCACTTAGGGGTGTACTCACTTTTGTGGCCAGCAGTTTAGACATTAATGGCTGTGTGTGGAGTTATTTTGAGGGGACAGCAAATTTGTAGCAAAGTGTCATTTCTTCAGTGTTGTCACATGAAAAAATATAATAAAATATTTACAAAAATGTGAAGGATGTACTCACTTCTGTGCGATACGGAGATATACAGTATATATAGGAGTCAAACCAAAATTTATTCAGACACCTTCACACATTATCAGTTTATTCGCTATAGTTTAGAAAAAGGTAATAAAATATGACAAGAACTCTTGAGTGAAACCGTTTCAGAACAAATTCATCTTGATAATGTCAGATAACAATGGTCAGGTCAAAGTGTCTGAAGAATTTTTGGTCCCAAATTTTGATCAATTTTACTGGTAGTCCACTGTATGAAGAATTTTTGGATATAATATGTCACCGCTTACTTTATTTTGCTATCTTCACTTACATAAATTAACTATAGTGTCGGAATAATATTTGGTTTGGCTATATATTGTAGCGACTCAGCTCATGGGAAATATGAATAATTAACCAAAGGGACAATTAATCTGCAGTTAATTTAACTTCAGCTTGTTCCTCACATACTGTATACGGCTTCAGAAGACATACGTAGTGTACAAGTCATTTGGACCACTTTTATGGTGCTTTATTTCTTATTTTTGAAACCCGACAGTCCCAAATCCTCATTTGCTTTAAGTGTATGGAAAAGAGGATCCAGGATATTCTGCTAAACATCTCCTTTTGTGTTCCACAAAAGAAGGACAATCATGCTGCTTTATAAAGGGTGAGTAAACGACATTTATTATTTGAATAAATCATTCATTTAGGTTACGGAGCAGCATTTCCCACCTTTTCTGTTGTTTTTCTGCCTCTGTTATGATGTAAGGTGGAAGAGTGTCTGTTGCTCCCTATAGGAGAGAGTAAGCTCATATATGTGTCCCTGGAGAACAAAACCAGTCTTAAGTCGCTGGGGTATATTTGTAGCAATAGCCAAAAATACATTGTATGGGTCAAAATTATAGATTTTTCTTTTATGCCAAAAATCATTAGGATATTAAGTAAAGATCATGTTCCATGAAGATATTTTGTAAATGTCCTACTGTAAATATATCAAAACTTAATTTTTGATTAGTAATATGCATTGCTAAGAACTTCATTTGGACAACTTTAAAGGCGATTTTCTCAATATTTAGATTTTTTTGCACCCTCAGATTCCCGATTTTCAAATA